CATTTGGCTTGAGAACTCCCACTAGCACATGATCCTTACTAGCAGGGTGTGCAAAACCCTACTAGTGGCGTGTGGGCGGCACATCACTAGTATCGTGCCACTGGTAAGTTGCGGTCAATGTGGTCAATAGAAAATGGCAACATCGTTCATTAGAAATGGCAATATCATTCATTAGAAAATAACAATATCATTCACAAGCATACATTAAACAAGCTATTTTTTTGTGTCTTATTGTTCTATGTAATGGTGCTCTCGGTTGAGTCTATGTTATCGGTGGGGCTGGGGTTTCTCCATGAGTGGCACTTGATTTCAGAGGTGCTCTGGTTGTCGCTTGTCTGGTGGGTGCCATCGTTGTATGCTGGGCTGCCTCCGACATTGTGGTTGAAGAATTTTTAAAGTTATGCTTCTCATCTTGCGTGCAGTCTTTAGTTTGAGTTCCTGTTGACAGTTTGGCACATTAAATTTACTTCAGTTATGATGGGAAATTCCGAGTTCCTAACAGTGGTGGCTTGTGAATGGTGGCATGTGTTCTTGCTTTCTTTAGCCATCTGCATTGCTTTGACGCGTTGCTGAAATAGGAGTGGACAATTGCATGATTAAAAAAAGGAGCTACTGTGGTATCATCCATTGTTTACCATGAGAATTTTGTGCACAGATATTTATTCCATTACATGGCGATATATACATTGGGTGCTTGGCAGCTATTAAGGAAAAAAAAGTTTCACAATCTTGATTCTCTTGCTGCCATGGACTGTTTTGATAGGCTTAAGTGATGTTACTGATCTTGTAATTGCATACCCAACTATTTGGAACTAGTGACGATCCTTTCCATTGCCTCGTTAAGTTAAGCGAATATTTGCATTTTAGTTCTTAGTTTCGATTGGGGTTTTGCGCCAAGCCATCCGGCGCAAAGGGTCATCTGATACACAAGAATCATGTGAGTGTGTGAGAGACAGTGGAGAGCATGCAGAGGCCTAAAGACTGGACAAGTGGTTGTAGTAACCATACACAGTAGGATAGCGTTTGATATGCACTTTGCATTGACGGCCTCAAAATAATGAATACGAAACGCACTTGAGATGCATTATAACGACTGTTGATACAGGGACTCTAGACCAGCGCCGGCAGGTCCAGCTTGCAAACAGTGGCAAAATGAAGCGGACATGTGCGCGACGAGTCAAGGAGAAAATCCGGATTCCCTTTAAAGGCCCGCGTTGGTACACCACATGCACCCCCTCAGTGGGCAGCATGCCATGCCACGCCACGCAGCACATGGGAGGAAAGAAGATCTAAGGACTTTTTTGGTTCATAGGACAGAATTATCATAGGAATAGGAATCTTGTAGGAAATGAGATGACATGTATCTCAAATTCTATGAATAGGAATAGGAAACAAGATATCATTTGGTTGATATCAAAAAAAAAATTCCATTGAGTCTAGGTTCTTTTTTATTTTCTATGAAATGTGGAGGATAGAAACCAATCCTACATAGGAATAGGAATCCATTCCTATGAACAAAGGACTCTAAATGAAAAAATTCTATAAAAATCGTATCCTTTAGAATTCTTATGAATTTCCTCTAAACCAAAGGAGGCCTAAGCTTAAAAGCAATAATGCGATGGCGGGAAAACACACTTAAATTTTCATTCATTCACTCACTCATTCATTGGGAGGGCTTACAAACGCAGCAGCGTCACATCGCCGTAATTACTACTCCTAGCAACAGTAGTACTCGTAACAGTAATAATTGTATACAGAAGGAGGAGGAGTACAAGAGTAAGAACTAAGAAGACTAAAAAACATCCATTATTTTCCTGTTAATGATAGATATTCTAGTTGTAATGCTCTGCTCTGATCGTGGTTTGGATTTGGATTAGACATGGGAGTGGTGGAGTGATCAGAAGGCCAGCTTCCGGCGCGGGAGGCGGAGGCGGTCGGCCTCGGCGAGCTCGCAGATGGCGTCGGCCACCAGGTCCTTGAACAGCAGCCGCTCGATCTGCAGCACGGCGTCCGCCGCCTCGGCGCTCGGCGACCACCGCCGGTCCGCCGCCAGGTCGCGCAGGATGGCTTCACTAGTTTGGTCGTTCAGATCATCTCCGGCCGCCTGCCCGGCCGGCTCCATGGCGCGCTGGACCTCCGCCCAGACGTGGCGCAGGAGCTCCTCGCCGCGGAGCCACGCGACGGGCTCCGACGGGTGCGCGCACCGCCACCGGTCCAGCGCCTCCGCCGCCGCGCCGCACAGCAGCCTGCGGTGCTGCCACGTGTCCTCGCCACGCCGGCGCCGCTTCTCCACCGTGCGGTACACGTCATCCGGGCTCCTCATCCGGTCCGACAAACAGACGACTTCTGCCACGTAGGCGAAGTCGGGGTCACTGGCCTCCGGTCCGACCAGCCACGCCTCGGGGACCACCTCGTCGTCGTCCTCGGGAAAGGACAGAGAGGCGACCGGCCGGGGGCTCGGCGCTCTCCGGCCCATCCCCCGCTTCGACCCCGACGACGACGGCGAGTCCTCGTCGGCGAGGAACGTCGCCGCGTCGAGGACGGACACCGGGCTCGGCTGCTGGTCGGCCGCCGCGTCTCCGGCGCCGGTGAACGCCTCGATGCTGCTCAGCAGCTTGTCGCAGCGCTCCAGCAGGCCGCGGTCCGTTCTCGGGTCGTCCACCAGTCGTGCCCGCTGCCGCTGCAAAAATGGACGGACATGTGAGAAAACGTTGCACGATGTCCTCTCAGCAGAGAGTTTGCCACCTTGTGTGGTGAGGCTTACCTCCATGTCCCAGCGCGAGGAGGCACTGGCACTGGCACTGACAGAGCTGCTGCTGCCGCCGTCCGAGAAGATGGTCCACGCGTCGTCGTCGGGAGATAGACTGTGAGCAGCGTGGCGGGCAATGCGGGGGCGGATGCTTGGGAGCTCGGCGTTGTTCGGCTTCTTGAAGGGCTGGTGGCGCTTCTCCGGCGAGACGCGGCGCTGAGGGGACTGCGGGCCTCGTCGCGCTGGGGAGGCCGGGCTCCGTGCGGGGGACGCCGCTCGGTCAGGAGAACGCGGGCGGCGGGCATTGTCGACCTGGACACGTAATCGCCTGGTGGGAGAGGTTGGAGGCTGCGGCGGCCGGGATGACGGGCGCATCACGACGATGGGAGGCGGATGGTTGCGCACGGACAATGGCGGCGCCGGAGAGCTGTGGCGGAGGAGGCCTTTGAGCTGGAGGGCCTCCAGGATTTGCTTGAGCGTCTCGAGATCCCTGGCCGGCTCGGCGATGCCACGCTTGCGGAGGCGCCGATCGATCTCGCCGCAGAGCGCGATCTCGCCGCGCCCGGCGCTCGGGTCGACGCGCTTCGCCGGCTCGGGGAACACCTCGCGCGCGTCGAAGTGGCTGCTGCGCCTCTGCAGCGCCGCCGCCCTGTGGAAGGCCGGATCCGGCGACTGCCGCTGTGCCAGCGCCGCCTCAGCCATCGGGGACGACGGCCGTTGCGGAAGCAGCGCCGGCTTCTCGAAGAAAGACGGGTCGACGAACCGGAAGCGCGCCGGGTCGCGCGGCACACGCTCGGACGCGGACCGCCTGAGCTCGCCACCCCGAGCGGCGTGCTGGCCGTCCTCCTCGTCCGCGGCGCCGTGCGGCAGCGCGTCGAGCCCCATGAGCCGCGCGACGACGCTGGGCGAGCCCGCCACGCCAGGGGACGGCGGCGCCGCCGTCCTGATGTTGTCCCGCTGCCGGAGCTTCCCCCTGGCGTCGACCACCGCGCGGCTGTCGAGCGAGAGGCGCGGCAGCCTCCAGGACGCGGCCGCGCCGCCCCGGTCCTTGAGGTCCAGCGGCGGGAGCTGGAGCGACGGCCTCGGCGCGGCGGGCGGCGTCATCTCGGGCGACGACGGCAGCGGCGTCGCCCGGTCCAGCGGCATCGACATCTCCGACGGCGTCGCCGACCCCTGATTGACACACCAAGAAGCATCGCCATTAATCGACCGACGAGCGAGGGGCAAGAAAAGAAAAGCGGAGCGGCGAGCGCGCGCGGGTGCACGTACGCTGGAGGAGGAGGAGAGGAGGCGGCGGGGGTGGTGGCAGAGGCGGCGCTTGCCGGAGAGGACGTGCGGGCGGTCGAAGAGGTGGAGGAAGCCGGCCATGCAGCCCTGGTGCACGGGCCGCTCCTCCTCGTCCGCGCCCATGGCGACCATCTCCGTCCGCCCCCGCCCCGCTTCGTCTCGTCTCCTTGCCTGGCGTAGCGTGCGGGTGTGCGGGTGGGTGGGGGGACTGCGGCGCTCCGGGTGCCTGCCTCGCACGCCGCTTTTGGTGGGCGCGTCTTAAAGCGGCCCGCTTCTGCGCCTTTGACTGGGAACGGACGAAAACCATGTGGCAGGCGCGTGCGCGTGCGTGCCGTGACGCCGCCCCGGCACGCCCATTGGCGCCCGGCGGGCATGCCCTGCGTTTTCAACCGCGAGCCGCAGAGGTAAAAACCGAGATAAAAAACCCAGTGTTTACAGTTGGAGTCAGTCAGGCAGGCAGGCAGGCAGGCAGGCAGGGCAGCGTGGCGCCGCGCAGGCCCTGCCGGCGCGCCCCGCCCCGCCCGACATGGCCGCGTGCACGGGAGCGTGCCCGCCCGCCCGCCCGCCCTGCGGCGCTCTATCCACAGACGCCACTCCAGCGTCCTCGTATAGCATGCAGTTTCCGTTTCCTCGGCGACGTTGCTTCATGTGTGCAAGCAAGGCTGGCTCCCGGTACAGTCGGAGCACGCCAGTTACTCCAGTACCACCACCTACTCTACCACTACCACTAGCAGTACTGTGATTCACCGCCCCTGCCAAGCGCCCCAGGCAGAGCAATAACAAAGAACGTTACCGTTACTCTAGGCTAAGGCATGAGCTACACCGAGCGGCAGAGATACTCCTTCCCACCGGGCATGATTATCAGTGTTGGATACGCGCGCTGCCGGGCCCAAGGATCCGAGCAGCAACGCCTCTTTTTCTTTCCAGTTTTTACCGCCACCTTGCGTAGTGCTGCGGCATCGCCTCACCTTTTCCTCGAAGCCGGCGCGCGCCCCACTTGCACGCACGCAGATGCAGAGGTGTGTGTACATACGCACTACGTGCACGCACCGCACCGGAAACATTTACCGGAAGGAGAGTATTTTAACCTGGGGACGCATGTGGTGGCGCGGTCTTTCCAGCGGGAAAGGTGAGGGGGGACGGTCAAGTCGGTCAGACGGGGCAGGGCGGGGTGAGGTGCGCCGATCTGGGCAGCGATCCGGGTGACGCACGGGAGCATGTGTGTCCACCCGCCTGCCATGTGCTGCTGCTGCGTCCCGTCCGCCTGGCCTTACCCGATCCCGCGATGATGCCTTGCTTGCGTAATGCACATGGCCGTAAAGGTGGGGATCGCAGAGTCCCTATGGAGGGGAGGGGAGATGAGGTGGGTTCTTTCTGCGAAAAAGTGGGAAAAGTGTGTGAAGAGAGGTTTCGGATAAGATCCCCTGTGGGGGATTTGTTGTTGTATTTGTATTTATATTTTTTCTCTCTTTGTAAGTTTTTTTGTCATGTATATAATTTTCCTAAACTTTTGCATGAAACGTTATGTGAAAATAAATGAAAATGCACGGCCGAGTCATATTGTTTTTGGTGGTTCGTGGCACGGGCCATGCTGAAAGCGGTGGTTCGGGTGGCTCGCAGGCGGCGGCTCCGGTGGAGGCGAATAGGAGGGGAGAGCTAAGTTTTTTATGGTTTTTGG